CAGAATCTTTTGCGAATGGCCCCTTTAGTGTTCAAACATCCTATTTTACATACCACTTTGTCATTTAGCAGGCGCTACAATATAGCATTATCCAATATCAACTAGATTGGAACAGTTTATGAAATTATTATCATTAAACAATAGAGAGAGTGTTCATGGATTGCCACTGTTGATTATGTACCCTGGTTTACAAGCACAGATATTCACAACTAGGTTGCACATCCGTCCTTGTGTTTGAATGTTTCTGGACTAACTGCGTGGTCATCGTGAATTTTTATTGTTTCATTTATTTGTTTAATTGTATTTATTTATTTTGTCTGTGGACAAAAATATGCTTAAAAATTTGTCAATATTTTGTCACATCAGACTAATTTTTTAAATTTTAGTCAGTGTTATTCTGACTAAAATGGCATATCGTTTTAGTTTGCTCAAATAACATTTTAGTTGATGAGAGTGCAAAATTAAACCAAATATTCGAATGTTTCGATATTAATGTACACATTTTACAAAAACAGCTTGATGTGAAAACCTGCACTCCTAAAAACAGTGTTATAATAAAATATTGTGAGTTCTTTATGCTTTAATTATTAATAGTCCATTCATGGTTTAGTGTGTTAGGGTAAGTCTATTCACAATGTGTTCAGTTTCATTCACTGATCAGTTTTAACCTCTGCAACTCAAGTGAGCCAGTCCTAGACACTGATTTTAGTTGGATTATTTGAAACAATCATATTGTTTTCATATTTTTGTTCTTCAAAAACATTTGTTAATATTTTGCATTCAGTAAGACCTCACTGGGCCCCGGGGCTATGACTTACTGCAGGGCCCACCGTCACAATAATGATATAGCTTAAAATAGGATTTTTATCCAATCAAAGTTTCATAATCATCATAATTCTTGTTACCAGTTCCAATATCTAAAAAAAAACTGGTAACCAAACAGTTTCTGTGCCCCAGTGACTTCCATAGTATATATATTAAAAAAAAAACTCCATTGGAGTCAACAGGGACCAGAAACTTTCTGGTGGTTACGAATATTCTTCAAAATATCTTCTTTTATGTTGAGGAGAACAAAGTAAATTTAAATAAAATTCATACAGGTTCAGAACAACTTGAAACGGAGTAAATGATGACAGTATTTTAATTTTTGGGTAAACTATATCCCTTTAAAATCTCATCATATAATGCCAGGATCGCATAATAGCCAACTAGTGGAGCACGGTGAGTAGTCTGTAATGTTTTTGCTATCATACGTTTAATAATTATCGTATATATTACGTTAAGCATTTATCTGCTAAGTACTTAATGTGTGCTTGGCTTTATTATTTTATTTTAAAACTTGATTTTTTTGTCATCCTTTTTAGATATAACTTTTTTCTGTGGATGTTTCGATTAATTTTCGGATGCATGCTGTAAATGGGCTTTGTGGTGAAGTTTTGAAAGACGTTTATTATTCATAAAAATAAATAGTTTGCTTTAATTCCCTCTGTTATATGCATTGTTTGTGTGTTAATA